GCTCGCCTCAACCTGCGATCCTTTGTCACATGATCGTATCCGACAAACATCCCTACTACGCTCGGACACTGGTATACCTTGTCAAACCTGCTATTGTTGCTTTCCTGCACCTGCGATCGTTGTCACCGTTCAACCAGCGAGAAGGGAACTTGAACACTGACGATCAGGTTCGAAAATACCTCGCAAAATCTGTCCTCTAGATGCACAAGACTCGTCTGAACCTGTGAGATGCTCGCCTCAACCTGCGATCCTTTGTCACATGATCGTATCCGACAAACATCCCTCAGACTACGCTGACACTGGTATACCTTGTCAAACCTGCTATTGTTGCTTTCCTGCACCTGCGATCGTTGTCACCGTTCAACCAGCGAGAAGGGAGCTTGAACACTGACGATCAGGTTCGAAAATACCTCGCAAAATCTGTCCTCTAGATGCGCAAGACTCGTCTGAACCTGCAAGGCCGACACCCTTCGTCAACGTGTGTGATCAAACATTTTGGTTCACTGGCAGCACTCCGAGCGGCGCTCATCACCTGGTCCATCGAGCTGAAGAGATTTCTGCATGGGGTGTAGATGAGAAAGATTGGTACTCCTGATTTCCCGATGAGTATCGCTTCTTTGTGTTCTCTCCATCTGCTCAATTGCAATCACTTACTCAGTGGCCCCAGCATGTACTGAGCTTACCTTGCCAATATATTTACCGAGTTTCTCTTGAAGATTTCTTTGTTCCCGTTGACAAACACTCCCATTGCCTTGATCACGACGTTGGTCTTGTGAATCCGATTCCGAAGGGCATATGCTCGATCCAGCTGATACATCTTTTCAAGTATACAGCTCGGGCTTTCAGTTATCTCGAAGTGGAAACACTCCCCTCGCTCAAGACGTATGTCGCTGAGGCATTCGGCGGCGGATGTCGTAGCCTGACCATCTTCATTGCTGAGGCAGACGATGCTCTCACTGTCATTCAAGTCCACGACACGATTGAAGATGCTGTCCAGATGAACCGGCCCATCTCGTACTTTGACATACAGGTCTAATTCGAAGTAGTGGCCCTTGCTGTATTGCTTCTGCTTTTGATCGATACCACTGAGAGAATGGATCGAGAACCTCTTGCGCAGGTTTGTCCTGTACTCCGTGCTGTTCACATGTTGCAGGGCCGCTATGTCGTTGGAGTCTCTCAAGAAGAACCTCCTGCACATCATGGTCGCCGGGACATGAGCGAGTTGCGAGTAAAGCTGATTAGCGAAGTAGTCCCGCGCAGAGACGAGGTTGAGCTGAACCTCCTCCCAGTGCGGCAGCTCGTGAGGCTCCAAGTTGCTCATGCTGGGGGAGCTGGTGCCCGCCGGCGACTCCCCTGACCCCTCTGGCATTGCCACAAACTTTTTCCAAGGCGCGGGAAACTGAAGTAAATCCCACCCTACCCCTGCTGATCGTTCGGAATCCTACCAGAGGTGCTCTCTTGGAGGGGGTGGTGGTGGGAGGAGGAGGGACTCGGGAGAGCTATCAGAACATTCATAGAACAGGTTTTCGCTGCCTCGTCCCTCTGGCTGAGGCGGATTTGTTGGTACGAACATCACTCTTGTGGTGACTCACGGCCCTCTTTGACTCTCCCAGTCTGAGTGATTTGTCGGCATGTATGAGTCATAGGCATAGTAAAAAGATGAGGCTAACTACGGTAAGATGAAGAGTCTAAAATCCATATCCGCATGATCATCGATGATGGCTGGCATAGTGACACGGACGCCGCGTATCATCCCACCCCTGGCGACCCGCTTCCCAGCGGCTGCCCAGGCAACTTGAACCCTGGGATCCTCGAGACAAAAAGAGCCGCCATGCTAATGCCATAAGCTCCAAAGACTCTTCTGAACTGTGAGATGCTCGCCACTACCTGCGATCAGTTTGTCACGAATGAGCTAACACATTCATCGGTCTCAGTCAGTCGCCTCGGAAACACCCAGCGAGACTCTCAAGTACAGGATGCACCGCCGAATACCTTGTCGATACTCGCCTCAACCTGCGATCCTTTGTCACATGATCGTATCCGACAAACATCCATACTACGCTGACACTGGTATACCTTGTCAAACCTGCTATTGTTGCTTTCCTGCACCTGCGATCGTTGTCACCGTTCAACCAGCGAGAAGGGAGCTTGAACACTGACGATCAGGTTCGAAAATACCTCGCAAAATCTGTCCTCTAGATGCGCAAGACTCGTCTGAACCTGTGAGATGCTCGCCTCAACCTGCGATCCTTTGTCACATGATCGTATCCGACAAACATCCCTACTACGCTGACACTGGTATACCTTGTCAAACCTGCTATTGTTGCTTTCCTGCACCTGCGATCGTTGTCACCGTTCAACCAGCGAGAAGGGAGCTTGAACACTGACGATCAGGTTCGAAAATACCTCGCAAAATCTGTCCTCTAGATGCGCAAGACTCGTCTGAACCTGCAAGGCCGACACCCTTCGTCAACGTGTGTGATCAAACATTTTGGTTCACTGGCAGCACTCCGAGCGGCGCTCATCACCTGGTCCATCGAGCTGAAGAGATTTCTGCATGGGGTGTAGATGAGAAAGATTGGTACTCCTGATTTCCCGATGAGCATCGCTTCTTTGTGTTCTCTCCATCTGCTCAATTGCAATCACTTACTCAGTGGCCCCAGCATGTACTGAGCTTACCTTGCCAATATATTTACCGAGTTTCTCTTGAAGATTTCTTTGTTCCCGTTGACAAACACTCCCATTGCCTTGATCACGACGTTGGTCTTGTGAATCCGATTCCGAAGGGCATATGCTCGATCCAGCTGATACATCTTTTCAAGTATACAGCTCGGGCTTTCAGTTATCTCGAAGTGGAAACACTCCCCTCGCTCAAGACGTATGTCGCTGAGGCATTCGGCGGCGGATGTCGTAGCCTGACCATCTTCATTGCTGAGGCAGACGATGCTCTCACTGTCATTCAAGTCCACGACACGATTGAAGATGCTGTCCAGATGAACCGGCCCATCTCGTACTTTGACATACAGGTCTAATTCGAAGTAGTGGCCCTTGCTGTATTGCTTCTGCTTTTGATCGATACCACTGAGAGAATGGATCGAGAACCTCTTGCACAGGTTTGTCCTGTACTCCGTGCTGTTCACATGTTGCAGGGCCGCTATGTCGTTGGAGTCTCTCAAGAAGAACCTCCTGCACATCATGGTCGCCGGGACATGAGCGAGTTGCGAGTAAAGCTGATTAGCGAAGTAGTCCCGCGCAGAGACGAGGTTGAGCTGAACCTCCTCCCAGTGCGGCAGCTCGTGAGGCTCCAAGTTGCTCATGCTGGGGGAGCTGGTGCCCGCCGGCGACTCCCCTGACCCCATTGCCACAAACTTTTTCCGAGGCGCGGGAAACTGAAGTAAATCCCACCCTACCCCTGCTGATCGTTCGGAATCCTACCAGAGGTGCTCTCTTGGAGGGGGTGGTGGTGGGAGGAGAAAGGGACTCGGGAGAGCTACCAGAACATTCATAGAACAGGTTTTCGCTGCCTCCGAGGCTCGTCCGAGGCTCTTTGGCTGAGGCGGATTTGTTGGTACGAACATCACTCTTGTGGTGACTCACGGCCCTCTTTCAACGACTCTCCCAGTCTGAGTGATTTGTCGGCATGTATGAGTCATAGGCATAGTAGAAAGATGAGGCTAACTAGGCATGGACGCCGCGTATCATCCCACCCAGCGGCTGATCTCTTGGTCTTGGTGAGGATGCGGCTCGTCGTCCGATCATTGCGCACTGATGGCCCAGTGGCGTGCCGCATGGCGGGATAGCAGGGGGGGGGGACTCAGGGAAGAGGAGGAAGAGGAGGGATATTCGCGTGTACGGTATGCACCCCTTCCCGTCGCCGAATCTCCGGGGCCGAGGCTTCCTCTACCCTTCCCCTCCCTCTCGTCCTCCCTCCTCCTTCCCTCACTGTCTCCCTCTCACCTTCTCGCACTGCGGCAGGAGTAGGACATGTACGTCGGTCACCAGGGTTGCGACTCGGGCCAACCCTCCCCGGTCATACCCAGGCCTGCCCCAGGCCGCGCGGCCTCTTGTACGCATTGCTTCGATCAAAGATTCATTCCTGAATGCGCCAATGGCGCCAGGCAGACGAGCCGTCAGGATCCTCCTCCCCGTCTTGGGCCCTGCTGCATCTTCGCGGTCGTCTTACTGGCTCTGCAGCCAGTCAGGTGTTGTCATGGCACCAAGTTCTGAGACAGTCAGTCACCTGCACTCCGCCATGTTGTCCTTAAGAGCGTCAGAGTCAGGGATGAGACCTCCTAGAACGGGC